TACAGTTTCAAAAATAAACTGGAGAAGATTCGTAGCTCTTACAGAGAGGCAGCTTGGTGTAGGGGACTAAGTGTCAGGCTTGATGAGGAAGTCCTCGGTTCAAGTCCTGATGTGGACTAGACTTATGTGTCAGCACATACTAGTTGTGTAACCATTGGTGAGTAATGGTAAGTAACCTCTCAGTGCCTTAGGTGATTCTCTAAGACCATAACAAATGGACAGCCTTTATGTGATAGTGAGAGTCGCCACATGCTAATTTCCCTTTGTTGATGAAATTACTTGTATGAATTGTTACAACAACAAAACCCTTTTATATTTTGTTTAAAATAGTTTTATCTGAAGACAAGGGCTTAGATTAAGAATCTTTCATTATTATGTGAGGAATCATCCATATCCTTCCTCTCCATCACAGTTAAACTCCTTAAAGAAGCTGTCTACAATGAATGTCTATTTCTCTTCACTCTTTTCTAAAACCTCTATAATCTGGCTTCCAATCTCATCCAACTGGAACTGCCTTTTCCTAAATTACAAATGATTATTTCTTAACTGCCAAATCTAATGTCCTTTTCTCTTTCCTCATCTTTCTTGACCAATGAATCAGAGTGATTTTCCTTAAGTGCAGGCATGACCATGTCACATTCCTAATTATAAATTCCCTATTATCTCTCCTCCTTATTACTTCAAGGGTCAATCAATCAATACATCTATCTATTAACAACCATTTATAAATAGCTATGTGCCCCCTACTATTGAATATAAATTTCTGTTTGGCCTTTAAAGTTCCACACATACTGGCCTCTTCTTATCTTTCTGGAATTCTTAGAGATTACTTCTTTCCACCTACTTTATGTTTCTAGCCTTCTTGCTGTTCCTCACACTGGATTTTCCATTTCCTACCTCTGAATCTTTGAAGTGCTCAACTTCTTCACCTTGACCTCTTAGGATCCCTATCTTTATTTAAGACTCAAGTTAAGGCTCCTTTTACAAGAGGCCTTTTCCTGGTCCCTGACACTTTCCCTGTAAGGTTTCTAAACTACTTTGTATTTATCATGTAAATACCAGTTAATATACAAGGTGTCTCCCCAGTTAGAAAGTAAACTCCTTGAAGGCAGGGATTTTTCTTTCCTCTTTAATCCCCAGTGTTTATCACAGTGCCATGCATAAGGATTAATGCTTGTTGATTTATTGAGGCAAGTAGTGTGGGAGCTGATATTACTTTTGCTTTATATAATTCAGTTTTTCCTGTCTTCTTTGCCCCCTAACATAAAGCTCTGAGGTACAGCTTCTAATGATAAGGCAGCATGACTTCAGGTGGAATTTTAACTTTTTCAATGAATAGAAATGCCAATATACTGATTTATGTAGAAACTCACAAGTTAGAGGGGGCATTCAGAGAGAAGGAGTTAAAGCCAGTCAGTGAATAAACATCAATTAAGCACCTGCTATGTGCCAGGCACTGTGCTAAGCACTGATAATACAAAAGACAGTCTCTACTCTCCAGGAACCCTATAATGGAGAGACAACATGTAAATAAATGTCTCATTGAGCTATACAGGATAAATTGGAAATAATTAACAGGGGGAGGAACTAGAATTAAGAGAGATGAAGAAACTTCCTATAAAAAGTGAGATTTTAGCTGAGATTTGAAGGAAGCCAGGGAAGCTAGGGGACTACATTGAAGAAGGAGAGCATTCTGGAATGGATGGAAACTATTCAAAATTTTCTGAATCTGGAAATGGAGTGTTTTAGAGGAACCTCCAATGTTACTGGATTGAAGAGTATGCCAGGGATGGGGGTAGTACAGGGCAGGAGGCAAGAGAAGAGCAGGTAATGGAAAGTGTAAGGTGTAAGAAGACTGGAAAGATGAACATTCAGGGCATATAAAAAGCTTTGAATGTCACAAGGAGGATTTTATATTTGGTCCTGGAAGTGACAGAGAGCCACTGGAGTTTTTGAGTTGGAGAGTATGAGAGAGAGAGAGAAGAGAGAGAGAGAGAGAGAGAGAGAGAGAGAGAGATTGAGAGAGACAGACACAGACAAACAGACAGACATACAGATGGAGACAGAAAAACAGAGAGATATGGTTAGACCTGCACTTTAGAAAGATCACTGAAAGGTGGACTAGAGTAGGAGGAGGCTTGGGGCAGGCAGGCCAGGCAGCAGGCTACTGTAACAGCCTAGGCATGAGGTAATATGGGTTAGAAATGGAAAGAGCAGAGTGTTGAATTCAGAAGATTCAGACTCAAATACCTGCTCTTTTTTGCTCTTATGTCCATGATATGTCTTTTAACTTCTCTGATATTCATTTTCTGTAAAATGATCACAATACTAGTCCCACTATTTACCTTAGGGATCATTGTGAGAAAAGTGCTTATAAACTTCAAAATTTTATTTAAATAGGAGCTTTTAGATCAGGAGCCTCAGTGACTTGTCAAAAGTTAATGAATAGCTGGCAAACCCAAATCTTCTGGCTCTAAATCCATGGTGATTTTTTCATACATAGGATAAGGTCTAGAACTGAGATTTCATGGGTACTCTCCAATGAGTCCACTCCCTCTTTCGATGGAGGTCAGGTATAGTTTTAGAGAGGTACACAGAGCACCAAGAGAAGAAGTCATTCACCTGTTGTCACATAACTAGCTATGTGCTGAAAAGCAAGGTACAATCTTGTTTTATGAAATGTAGACATTTTCCTCAGAACTGCTCAGAAATTAGAAAATTATAATGTCCCTTTCTCAGATGTACAAGTGAAACCAGCTACAAAGAAATCAGAAAAGGGTCAGTAGTAATACTGATGGCTCACACTTCCATATTGCTTTAAGATTTGCTACTAGCCAAAGATAGTTATCAAAAAGTAACGAAGTTAAGTCCTTAGTATAGGCCAGGTTTGGGTGAGACGAGAGGTTAAAAAACTAGGAATTATTTTTGACCTCAAGCTTCCCATGGAAATCAATCAATCAATATATATTAAATGCCTATTATGTTTCAGGCATCATGCTAAGCACTGGAGTTACAAAAATAAAAGAAATTGCCCCTACCCTCAAAGAGCTTACAATCTAAAAAAAAAGACCTATCTTTTTAATGACAATATTTTACCAGTGTTGCTATATGGTAGTCAAGCATGGAATATAACAATCTCCAAAGGGGAGGGAGGGGACACACACACACACACACACACACACACACACACACACGGTAATGGAGAGGCACACTGAGGGTGTGAGCATACTGTAACATGGTCAAAATGAAAGTAAGTAGAAGAACTGGTATTTGAAGGCAAGTTTCATGACTCCATATCCAGTGCCCTGTCACTAAAGGTTTGTCTCCTGAATGATTCCATAGTTGTTGTTGTTCAGTCATTTTTAGATGTGTCCAACTCTTTGTGACTCCATTTAAGATTTTCTTGGCAAAGACACTAGAGTGGCTTGCCATTTACTTCTCCCACTCATTTTACAGATGAGGAACTGAGGCAAACAGGATTAAGTGACTTACCCAGATTCACATAGCTAGTAAGTGTCTGAGGAAGGATTTGACTCATGAATAGGAGTCTTGCTGAATCCAAGCCTAGTGCTCTGTCCACTGTGCCACCCAGATGCCCCTATGACTCTATAGAGAGGATTACTATTTCAGGTCAAGGTTAGACTAGATGACTTTTGAATGAGACAAACTTCCACTGTAAAATTCCCTGATTTTCATTAGTTTTATCATGCTATAAAAGTGAAAACTTAAGGAGATAACAGTAATGATCTACAGGCATAGAAAGGGCTCATTCTCATGCTCTGCTGGTGACCAGTGTTTCTTTGGGAAGAGTTAGCATGATACAGTGTCTTTTGTATCAGAGGACATGTGAACAAATCCTGCCTCTGCCAAGTGCTACCTGTGTGACTTTGGGGTAATCCCATAATGTCCTCGGGACTCCATTTTCTCATCTATAAAACGGTGTGGAGAAGTTGGTCTCAGAGGTCCCTTCAAGCTTCAGATCTATGATTGTCACTAAGGATGGAACAAGAGGGATATGGCCTAAAATCACATCACGAGGGTTTTAGGCTGGGTAAGAATTCCTGCCAGGAAGGACTGTTAAACACTGAAATGGATTACCAGGAAAGCTTGTGGAAAATCCTTCTACAGAAGTCTAAAAAAAATACGTGAGATCTTCATTCCTTTGGTATTTTTGTATTCTGGGTATTTTGGGTGGAATAAGAAGACCAATGGTTCCCAGTCTCACTTTTTCTTTTGACCAAGAACACATTCAGTTGTCTTGACTAAATTTAGTGACCTACTTTCAGATTTTGTGATGATGTCTTCCTGTCCCTCATGCCCAACAGCTTTTATTTCTTTGTATTTAGAATACTCTACTTCTCTCTGCTTCACATATAATTGTCAGCACTTGTTTCATTTCCTGTACCATTTCCTCAGAATGTCCTTTTCAGTTTCTACTCTTTATCATAGGTTTGTCTACTTCAGTCTTTAATCTCTTTCTTCTGTCTTTGAGTTTTCTCATTTTCTACTTTGGAGCATATCAGAGGAGTATATTGCTGTCAGGCTTATTACTGTCCCAGAAATCTCTTTTCTTTTTCCTTGAACTTTCATCTCAATGATACAAAAACTGAGGCCCAATGAAATTAAACAATTTAAACGAGGTCACACAGGTCGAAAATGCCAAAGGTGGGAATTTGAACTCAAATGATCTTACTCCAGAGACATTGGCCTTTCCACTGTACTACCGCTTCCTTGTCCAGTGCCCTGGCCACTGCACCACAGTAGATAAACACCTTTCCACCTATTCCAAAAGCCTAAATTTGGCTCTTTGAAATTTTCACACATTACTCTTGTTTCTGTTCTCTTGGGTCACAGAGAACAAGTTTAATCTTTCCTTCATATGATAGCCCTTCACATATTTGAAGACAGTTATCATGTCCTCTTGAGTTTTATAACTGTAGAATTTCAGTTGCCTCTTAGTTCTAAACTCTTATAATACTCTTTATTTGAAGGAGGCCAGAAAGTCCAGTATGGCAGGCTGGTACCTGAAATTCCATCTTTAGAGAAAGTCATGATACTAAATGAAATTCCATCATCAGAGATTTGTTTCTATGAATCTGAAAGTCTTTGAAGTTTTCTGGAATTCCCAAGCAAAATTGGTTGTGGGGAGCTGCCGGGAGCGCCTGCGTCCCCGGCTGTGGTCTGATGCCGGCAGAGTGTGAAGAGAGAAAGAATCACGGGCCAGGTGAGAGCAGTGAAGAACATACTCTGTTTATTGATCTGAGGGCTCAGGCTTATATAGTACTGGATCAAGCAATGGTAACATTATTATTCATGAAAAGTACAAATCTAATTAGGTGATTTCCTTACTTCCTTGTTCCTTGTCTGTTACATTCTTTCCGGAGTCCTGTCCTGTACCCCATCCGTTTCCTCCCTTCCTGCATCCTGTTCTCAAGAGACAGAACAGGGGGGTGGTGAGCTGACATCCTGAGTTTCACAGCTGTCAGGCTTAGTACAACCTACAGGTAAGACCTGGGCTGGCCTAAGCCCTCCAACTCCCCAAAGCCGGCCCTCTACAGGGAGCAACTTATGACTTGTCAAACTAATGTCCTACTGGAATTTATGATGGCTAATTAAGATCATGGGCTAAGGAACTAGGACACAGGTCAGACATTTGAATGAAAAGAGGGGAAGACAGGGAGAAGGAGGTTGCTTAAGACAAATTCCAAATGAGATATTAAAGGCATAGTGAATCAGAGTTTTTGACCTGTAGTGAGAAAGAACTTTATTCAAATCCTATCTCTAATAGTTACAAGTTAGAGGTGTGACCCATGAAATTCCATTAAGTACTTGGAGCCTTAATTTCCCAATTTATAATTTGAGCTAATACATGCAATGCCTAATTCCCAAGTTTGGTGTGAGTATTAGATGAAATAACATACATAAATACACACACATACATATATATGTATATATATTAGCTCATTTGATTCTCACACCTATAAAAATCTCTCTCTGTCTCTGTCTCTCTCTTTTTCTCTCTCATCCTCACAGGGTAATGAATATGTTGCATGAATGGCATGAATACGTTGAACCTATGGTAAATAGGGTGTTAGGCTCCTGTGACCACCAAAAATTCTAAACTTCCATTAGACATTGCTGAAAATATATTTTTCTACATCTATAACAAAACATTTTACGCAGTTTTCTTAACCCAGTAACCACGAAATAACACCCAAAATGCAGCCCACAAAATAAAATTGGTGACATGCAAAACATTCTCTTGCTAGTACTTCCCTAGAATTCTGTGGCCTTTTGTACTAACATCTCAATTTAAAAAATGGTTTCTGACAACATTCACTTTTCATTCTAAAATACCATAAATGCTGTACAGCAAATAAAATTCTTATACCATTTTTTAACCTAAATTTTACCTACCACTGTCAGATGGCAGTGTGTGGGCATTGCATTGTAGACTTTGGTGCTGTAAACCTCTCTACCTTGGCTACCCTTTGACAACCAAGGGAGAGGTTGCTGGGACTTCAGTTGCTGCTTTCAGAAGATGCAGAAACTGGTAAGGTCTTGGCATCATCTTACAAGCCAAAGAACTTGCACTGCACTTTATGGGCATAATTGCAACAAAAGACTTGAGTTTTAAAGGCAAACAGCAAAAATATGCAATGAATATATAGAGAGTTCTTTATAAGCATAGGGTAAGCAAGACCAATGAAGTGCCTAGTAGGATACCAGCCTTGCATGCACATCATACCTCTCATTTTTTTCTCTCCTGCACATAGTCACAAATGTGTTCAGTTGCCAATGCAAAAGTGAAAATGAGGTTACTAATAAAATCACATAAATACTTGAAGTTTCCAGTGTTGAGGATTGAGTGTATCTATATTGCAGACCTTAAAGTGTTATATAAATAGTTGTTGTTTGTTTAGTCAAGACCTGTGATTTCATTTGTACAAGGAACTCTGGGATTCTACTAATGCAGATTTGTAACATGATTTTTTTAAGCATAATTGCCTAGAGACAGTGAGAGGTTAAGTGATTTATCCATGATCACACATCCATTATTATTACTTAATTGATTATTACTCTTTCGTTAAATTGTGGGCTCCTCTAGGTCAGGGACTGTCTTTTATCTCTCTTACTATCCCCAGACCTTAACATAATTCTCTATAAGTACAGGATAAAATAAATGCTTTTGTTGACTTACTTCCCAATTTTACCAAATTCTATGTGAGAAGCCTAAGTTACAGCTAAAGCTTAGTTTCTCTTTGCAAATCAATTTTAATCTAATTATTTATATTAGCCTATCACAATTGTTGATTATTTTTGACTGAATTAAACCCATGGCCTGGAGCAAATCAATTGTTTCTTTCTAGAGACTTAATAGCTAAAGAAAAGATTCTTGCTCATGTATCTGATTTCTCTAATTGTTTCCAAAGAAAAACTGGTGTCTTGTGATTTTCAGGACCTGACTATTTCACCATCCTACCCTCACACATAAATGGACTCAAAGCTCTTTGGAAATCAATTTTAAAGTCTTGGCTGCCAATGCAGGGAAGGTGGAACTCCATATATAGTCTCATAAAATCTTAGAAACTTAAAACTGAAGCTCTTGTAGCTTAACCTTGCTCTAAGATTTGGGGACCAAGAGTAGTTAGATGGTGCAGTGAATAGAGTGCTGCCCCTGGAACCAAGAAGACTCATTTTCCTTAGTTCTCATCGGGTCTCAGACATTTAGTAGCTGTGTGACCCTGGGCAATTCACTTACCCCTATTTATCTCAGTTTTCTCATCTGTTAAATGAGCTGGACAAGGAAATGGCAAACCACTCCAGTATCTTTATCACAAACAACAACAACAACAAAAACAAATGAGGTCATAAAGAATCAGCCACTACTGAACAACAAACAATAACAATAAGATTTGGGGGCCTATATTAAAGTGAAATCTCTTCCCTTACAGCATAATGGTCCTTCTTCTTCCCCTTAAAGCTACTCCTAGAGCATTTAACATAAGTTATCCCATTTGATTGGTATGACAAGTATTGCATAGCTAGTATCAGAGTTGGGACTAGAAGTAGAGTTTTCTGACTCAAAGCTTAGTATTCCTTTCACTTCTCTCTCAACAACACAAGATAGATTAGGTGTCTACTCTAAGTTCAGTACCAATATTGAACCCCAAGGCATGTGGGGACCATCAGGTTGCCTAAGAAGGGGTAAAGCTTCACAGATTGAAAACAGAGCATGTCAAAGCTTCCATGCTGCTCAGTAGTAGGATCAGGCTAGTAATTGGCCTGATTCACTTTTTTTTCCATGCAAAACATATTTCCATATTAGCCATAATTCAAAAATGCAAGAAAAATAAAATGAGAATGTTATACTTCAATTTGCAATCAGTGTTCATCAGTTTTCTCTCTGGATGTATTTATTCCAACTTGTTATTGTACCCCTTAAAATATGGTGCCCCAAATTGAATACAAAATACTTCAGCTATGGTCTGACCAATTGAGAGTAGCATAGTACTCTTTCTCCCATTGTTCATCCCTTTCACAGATGGTAGAGTGCTTAATGACAACCCCACAAAAGAAGATGGGATACAATACAGTCTGAAAATAATTTTCCATAACAAGGATGAAGGAAGCAAAATAAGAGTTTTTAATAATGGACTTATATTACAAACATTATTATTGCTAAATAGAAGTATACTATCCCTCTGTTAGTGCAGACTAAATTTGTATAAGCTTTTCAAAGTTGTTGTACTCAACATACACTAAATGTGCAAGCAATCACTTATTGTTTTAAAGAGCTGGCATAATGATATGGAAGAATGCCTGAAGAAGACTGAGGTTGCCTATCAAGCTGTGTCAAATAATAAAATAAAATAAAAAAATAATAGGAAAAGATCTACTTAAAGCTTGCAAAGTATTTTATGTATGTTGCTATATTTGAGCCTTTAAGCAACTCTCATTTTACAGATGAGGAAACAGAGTTTCAGAGAAGTTAAGTGACTTATCTGTGGCCACAGAGCTAGCAAGTATCAGAGGCAAGATTCCAAACCCAATCTTACTGACTTAAAGTGCAATAATCTACTCTAGTATGTTTCTTGCCTCTGGAGAGTCTAAGACCAACACATAAAGAAAGATTTCAATTCTCAGAACCAATGTGAAAGATCGTTTATTTTATTTTATTATTTGCTCAATTAGTACAGTATCTAATTTCATATGGTGATTTGCAAGGTTTTAGATTTTGGCATTAAGGAGGCCAGGACATTTATAAGGAAGCTGATATAATGTGGCCTCACATGGATAGTATTAAGCACTGGCCCAAACTAAGTAATTAAAATTATCTCCAACTTTCCATGTGACTTTAGTGTCTGAACCCACTATACATAGCAATAATTAGTTGGGTATAAGTCCTGAGTTCATTATTAAAAGGTAAAATGGGATAATACTACAATGTTGTTGTTGTTTTTACTGTTTAGTTGTTCAGTCAAGTCCGATTCTCCATGACCACATAGATCAGAGCACTATTTTCCATGGGGTTTTCTTGGCGAAGATAATTAAATGGCTTGCCATTTCCTTCTCCAGTGAAATAAGGCAAACAGATGTTAAGTGACTTGCCTAAGGTCACACAGTTAATAAGTATCTGAGGCCATATTTGAACTCAGGTCTTCCTGATTCCATGCCCAGCCCTCTATCCACTGAACCACCTAGCTGTTTCCAACACTACAATAGCACAAGGTTATCATATCAAAAGGATTGGACTTTATAAACTTTAAAGCATTATGTCAACATTTTTAAAAAGTGGTAAGACACTGCCTATCAGTAGGTATGGCCTTGGAAAATCATGATTATAGCTTTAAGCCTAGAATGGACCTTCAATTCCATGTAGTTTTACTGTTTCATTATATTTATGAGCTACTTGAGCCTCGAAAGTGACTTGTGTGAGATCATAAAAATGGCAGGACTGGGATTTGAACTCAAGTACTCTATTTGCAGGACAGCTAGGCGGCACAGTGTATAGAGTACTGGGCTCAGAATCAGCAAGATTCATCTTCACGAGTACAAATCTCCCCTCAGACACTTATTAGCTGCGTGAACCTGGGCAAGTCACTTCACTGTTTGTCTCAGTATCTCATCTGGTAAAAGATCTGGAAAAGGAAATGACGAACCACTCCAGTATCTTTGCCAAGAAAATCCCAAATGGGGAAATGGAAAGTTGGACATGACTGAAAAGTGACTTGACAACAACAGCTTCTATTGCCAAGTTCATTCCTCTTTCCCCTGGATCATATATCCTCCCAAATGAGTTTCCTAGCATTGTAGTGAGGGTCATCACAACATTAATCTACTGGGCTGCACAAGTGTTTAGGAGGATGCCTAAGCAGCTGTTCTGTGTTAAACAGAGAAAGCAATGAGAAAGAAAAGAAATGTTTCAAGGATGCTCCAAAGCATGATGAAATAGAGTGGTGAAGTTGTAGTTTCCTCAGAAAAAATACCAGGAACTTTAAGACAGTAAATATTCTTTCTGAGCAAAATGTTATCTCTGATTACAAGATGCATTATTAGTCAGTCAACATGCATTTATTAAGCACTTACAATGTGTCAGGCATGGTGCTAAGTATAAGGGTTACAAAGTCAAAAGCATGTTTCCTATCCATAAAGAGCCCACATTCTGATAGGGGAGACAATATTCAAATAACAATGTACCTATAAAATATATGCAATATAATAGCAACTAATCTCAAAAGGACGAAGGCAAACATTAGAGGGAGAGGGGAGAATAAAGAAAAGTCTCTTGCAGATGGTGGGATTTGTGATGAATCTTGCACAAAGCCAGGGAAGGGGGTAATCTGAAACAAAGAAGAAGAGCATTCTAGGACAAACAGCTGGTGAAAAAACATGAAGACAGGGTATTGAGTGTCATTTGGGAGGAACAGCAGTATTCTGGCCAGTGTAACTTGACTATAGAATGTGTGGAGAAGAGCAAAGTATAAAAAGACTAGAAAGGTTGGAAGGATTCAGGCTGTGAACAGTTTTACATGCCCAACAAAGGATTTTCCATTTGATCCTGGACGTAATAGGGAACCAATGGAAGTTATTGAATAGAAGAGTGATACGGTTAGATTTACACTTTAGGAAAATCACTTTAGGCACCGAGTGAAGGGTTGACTGGAGTAAGGAAAGATTTGAGATACAGAGAGCAATTAGAAAGCTATTATAATAGTCGAGGCAAGAGATGATGGGGGTTGGTATTTGGATGGAGAGTGGAGAGAAGTGGACATATATAAAATATGTCTTTAGGGTAGAAACAGCAATGTTTGACAACAGATTGAATATTAAATATGTTTGAGAAATGGAGGATGAAACTAAGATTTTGGGTTCAGGTAACTGGGAGTTTGGTGGTGCCCTCAACAGTAATAGAGGAATTTGGAAGACAGAAAGGTTTTGGGGAAAAGATAATGAGTTCCATTTTGGACAAGTTGAGATTGAGATGCCTATGGGACATCCAATTTAAATTGTCCAAAAGTCAGTTATTAATACTAGACAGGAACTCAAGGAGGAAAAAATAGTACTACTTTAGTGCTGCTTCCATTTATAGATATAGGAATCATTTGATTAGAGATGATAATTAAACCCCTGGGAGTTGATGAGGTCACCAAGATAGTATAGAGGGAAAAGAGAAGGAGGCCACAAACAGAACCTTCAGGTATAAAAACGGTTAGTCCAAATGACCTAAATGAAGATCTGGCAAAAGAAATTGAGAAGGAATTATCAGGCAGGTAGGAGGGGAACCAGCAGAGAGAATCCAAAAGGAGATGGTGATCGACAGTGCTAAACACTGCAGAGAAGTCAAGAAGTATAGAATTGAGAAAAGGCCATTCAACTTGCCAGTTAAGAAATCACTGGTAACTGGAGAGAGCAGTTTCAACTGAATGATGAGGTCAGAAGCCAGATTTCATGGGGTTTTGAAGTGAGTCAGAGGCATGGTTAGAAATAATAGGCAGGTTCTTCAATGAACAAACACAGCTACAATCCAAGAACATGCAGTGTGCTCTGTATGGTTAACTGCTGAATACTATTCTTTTCAGCTACATAGGAACATACAGAGAGCAATCCCATCAGTACTAGAATCTAAAACTTGAGGGCTACTGACAATTGTGTGTGTAATGGTAGAATAATCACTGGGCTACTAGTTAGGAACCTTGATTCTGCATCTGCGTGAATGTGTATAATTAATTTTTGACTCAAATCTCTCATTTTTAAAAATGAAGATGATTACTGTACTTTACCTACCATGGTAGTTGTGGGAACCACCGGCACACCTGAGCAGTAGAAAAATTGTTGTAAAGCACATAAACTTTGACTCCCCGGGCAGAGGTCTGAAGCTATATTTAGTGCTCCTTAAAACCCAGTCCAATGACTTCAAATTGTGTGTAAAATTAAGATGATTTATTTTAATAACTCTAATCATCTAGTTGCTCTTAGGAGCCTTCAATTCATCCATGTGTTAATGAGATACCAAATTAGGAGTAGCAAGAGTCAGAGGGAAGAGTCTGAAATCAGTTGAGAGAAAAGGAAAAGACAAAAGAATTATTGGTTACTTTAGTAGAGCTTTGAGGACCATACTGGCAGCTGATGCTTCCTATACCCCCTTCGTAGCTAGCTATGACAACTTTCCTCACAACTACATGCATAGCCCCTGAGAGGGCAAAAAATGAACAACCCCCAGGCTCCAGATCACTTAGGCATATTCTAATTTTTAGTGCCCTATATGACCCATTAAATGTCCAAACCTCACCTAACTTCCCAAATCTAATAAGCTCTGCCCTCCTTCTTGCACTTCTAGCTTCTAGATGTTTGACTTGCTCTGAACAATGGTAAACCGTGGACTCCCACTCTCATTTCTTGTCTCCTAGACCATCTGTTTGTACCAGATACTGACATCTCTCTGGCAGTCTTCCAGTCTCCAGGATCCATTTTCTTCTGTCTACTTCCAGGCAACTGGCTTTACAGATCACAGTAACTCCTGAGGGTTATCACTTTATGACACCAACAACACAAATATGACGCTTTATCTACATCAGTAAGAAAATGTTAATTGTGCCTAACTTATTGTGTTTAATAAGTCATGGGACTGTGTAATATATTTTTAGAAAGATTTATATTTAAAAAAAGCTTATTGTTGAAAAAATCATTGATTTATTAAGCAATGAAGATAAGCTTTAGTTATCTCTCTGCAAAGTTCAAAGAATGACAGAATCATAAAATCTCAGAGATGGGCAAGATTTTAAAGCCCATATTTTCCAAGTTGGATATTAACTGGAATCTTCTCTACATTATCCCTTAAATCAAGGAATTCTATTATGGAGAACTAACTACCACATATTGCAGTCTATTTTTGGACAGCTATAATTATTAGGAAGTTTTTTTTCCCTTACATTTACTGATACCTGCTTCTCTATAACAAGCCACTCATTGCTCCTGGTTTTGCTTTCTTCTGCATGATATCCTTTCATATATTCACATAATTTAGAATTGGAAAGAACCTTAAAGATAATTTTTAAGTCTATCATTTTACAGAGGAACCAAATAAGGCCCAGAGAGGTGAAATTTTAAGTATTGGGTACAAAGTGAACAGAGTTAGGATTCTAACCTAGGTCGTCTGAATTCTAATCTTGTGTTCTTACCCCTGCAAGAGAACTGCTTCATGATCATGCCTCCCATTTTCTCTTCCCCAAATTTTTGGACTTTCTATCATGATCTTAGTCCTAACAGTGTGCCCAGAAGAGTGATCACAAGGTCTTCATTGAGAATCAAGAACAAGCTAGACACAGTAAAGAAAGACAGCTGTATAAGAAACCCAGCATAGAAGATACATGAGACCTAAGGGGAATTTCAGGAGTTCAACAAGGGTGAGCAAAGAACTTGTAGCAACCAGAAGCCGAGTTTCCTTTTTGCCACATATTCACTCTAAGTTTGAGCCCATTTTTCCAATGGGCAGGATATACTGATAGGAGAGTATATCACAGCGTTGTGTATGTGTGTGTGTGTGTGGGGGGGTATTTTGTATAAATAGTACCAACTGTACTACTACAGAAGACAACTGTTTCTAAAAGTTGCCTTGAATATCAGACTAAATAATATAACCTGATAATCATGGGAAGTACACACCAATGGGAGTTCATGAAGGGCTAGAAAGATAACCCTACCAACACCTAAGGCTTAACCATAGTACCCTGAGGGCAGTTGTAACATCAGTTCTCTAGGGACCCAGCCTATAAGTGCAAGTGAAGGTTGAGATAGTAGCTTCAGAGTTGTATAACTTAATCTTTCAAGGAATATTTAATTCTTCATAACCAAGAAAGACACAGATTCTTCATTTTTTCCATGCTGCTAGCTCTTCTTGACAATTCTTGACTAACAAGTGAATCAAATTACCTTTTGTCCCATCTGTCCACTTGTTAATTGTCTTGGGGCTACAGTATATTTAATCTATAGTGGCTGCCTTTTTCTTCCCCAGTATCTCTTTGAAAAATGAAAGTTCCAGAATTTGGAACCGAAAGTTTTAAAAACAAATGTTAAAAATTGTTTTTGCATGCAATTGGGAAATAAGATATGTAGGCAATGGGGTATAGAAATCTATCCTGCCCTACAGGAAAATAGAAGGGGAAGGGGATAAGAGAAGGGGGCGGTGTGTGATAGAAGGGAGGGCAGATTATGGGAAGGGACATTCAGAATGCACACTGTCTTGGGGTGGGGCAAAGGGAGAGATGGGGAAAAAATTCAGAACTAGAAATCTTGTGGAGGTGAATGTTGAAAATTAAAAATAAATCACTTAAATCTGAAAAAAAAAAGAAAGTTGCTTGGGCAACTTAATTTGCCAAGGTGACACAACCAGGAAGGAGGTTGGGGCATAGCTGAAACCCAGGACATCCTCACACATCTTCTATCTCTATGGTACCTCCCCATTTAAGTCTGTATAGAAACCCAAAGGGGTGCCTCATTATTTATTTCCTTCAACTTGGGCAATTACCTTTAAGTCACATATCTGTGGTTACTGTCCCATTTAACTAGCCAGATTCTTTCCTCTGAAAACTTGATCCAAATCCCATTCCAGTTAAGGAGTTGGACTTCAATGAGAGCCTTGTGTTAGTAACACAGGGCAGAATTTGGCCTGGTGAAAGAAAGAGATATGATTCATGGGGGTAGACAAGGGAAGACAAAAAACAGTTTCATCACAAGGTTAAACAAATGCCTAAGGAGAACTCAAGTTCCCAACGAGCCATTTGGGAAGTAGAACAGAGGAGTTTTATTATAGTCGTGGAAAGACAACAAAACTCCCAAACAAAAGAAGGATCAAATTATTAAGGCCATACATAAGACAAGGGTCTCATTAGAATAATAAAATTTGAGAGTGAGAAAGAACCTTAAGGAATCACATAAGCCAGTATTCCCATTTCACAGATGAGAACCTTGAAGTCCAAAGAGCTTCACTAACTTATTGAAGATCATACAGTTTGGCAAGATCATTTCAATGACCTGGAAGGAACTCAGATCTAGGTCTTCTATCACCAAATCCATTGTTCTTTCTGGAAAGAGCCAAAGTGGCCTAGAGGAAACAGTGGTGCCCTTGGCATAGGGGAGATTTGCATTCGAATTCCACCTCGATACTAACTATGTGACCATGAGCAATTTACCTCTCTGAGCCTCAGTTTCTTCTTTTAACTAAAAATACCTGTAGCACCTTCCTCACAGTGTTGTTGTAAATAATAAACAAGATGATATTTAAAATTTGAAAGACATAAAAAATGAAAGTTTCTTGCTGACTTGTTTAGTGAGTCCTCAGTTAACAAATTCTTGTCAAAACCCAAATGTAACTATTGTGAGTTGGAAGGTCTCATGTAGCAAACTGAAAACTTGCAGCCCCTGCTTACTTCCTTTCTTTTGTTTCCTCTCACCACTGATAAGGCTTCAGATATCATTTGACCTTCCTTATTTCTCTGCTGTTTCATCAGGTCAGTCTTCTAAGGTAGATTTATTTTCTACTTTTGTAGAACAATAACTTTTCTAGCAATGCTACATGGAGGAGCCATTATTGAATTTATAATTATTCTCATTATTATTACTATAGTATTCTAAAATAAGCAGCCATGAATCATTCATCACAGGTTGGAAGTGATCCTGCGTTGGTAAAGACTGATAGGACACAAAGGTTTCGAATATGAGTCTGGTGACAATTGTCGTGTTTTTCAAACTGAGGACCTGGATAGCTAAGTTTGGAGATTTCATCAACAAGAACATGGGATATCACATGATTTTCTTTACTATCTCAACTCATGAAATACTAAGGGGGCAGCTAGGTGGCATAGTGAATAAAGCACCAGCCCTCAAGTCAGGAGAGCCTGAGTTTAAATTCAGCCTCAGACACTTACTAACTGTGTGATGTGACCATAGGCAAGTCACTTAACCCCAATTGTATTAAAAAAAATACCATCTAATGAATAGAGTATGCATTAATCTTAGTTAATGGCAGGAATACTCACAATGATGAAATATTGAGTTTTGTTAAAAGTATTACTACTTTAACTAATGTCTAGCAAAAATAATCATGTTGGTGGTTTCTAATGTAAATACTAATTATCTTCATGTAATAATTTATTAACTGGAAGTGATATATTTGTTGAGGACTGTTAGTATTTCAAAATTCTGTATGTCCTGGCTTTGCTGACTTTCTTACAGTTCCATCACCCCCAAACTATCCCCACAACTGCTTTCCCATGATATCCAGTACTTTTAAGCCCCATGTCCTTACCAAATTTTTCCTCCTCTGCCCTCCATCCTCTCTGAGGCATCACATCCTGGTTATTATTCATACTGTATTATTCTTTGCTTTGTTCATCTACCCTTAGGCTAGTAGTAGTCACTAAAGCAAATGTCACCCAGGTGTTGAACCCTTGCCTCTGATAGCCAGACTAGATAGCTTTCATGGAGTTTCTTAATAATTAAAATTTCCTTTTTTGCCTCCACTTAGATTTAAAAGCTCTGGGAAATGTTTCTAGTTAGCACACTTTGCATGTATTTAGCTGATTCATCTGCTTGCAAACAAAGAATCTCAGTGGCATTGAAACGTTAAAGAAATTCATAACAGAATTGAAAAATAAGACAAAGAAAATAGCCCCAGCCCACATTCCTAGTGAATATACTCTCATTTCCTTTGGACTCAGATTAGTTTGGGTCTAAATTCCCTCAAAAAACTCACTATTCCAATAGGGGAAGTTTGGGCAATGCCTCTGCCACTGGAAAGGAAGGCTGGAAATGTCAACGATGACAATGTCAGCATGTCTGTTTGGATCACCAAATATTCTTCCCTGGACAGTTCTCTCGTCTCTTGCCAAGGAGTAAGTTTTATGTCTTTATTCCCCTTCTAGTCCTGTTCTTGACTTTCTAGACTTCAAAACTATGTTTGCTCTACTGCTGGCTCATTATGGAACTTCTCTCAGTACCTGGGGCCTCCTTGCCCCAGAACAGATTTTCACTCATGCTACTTTCTTACCCTGTAATATCCTGCTGCAAGACCTGACCCCCTTCTCCCATTGATGAACTCATCTTAGAACCTCTTTTTGTGTGTGTGTGTGTGTGGTGTGTGTGTGTGTGTGTGTGTGTGTGTGTGTAAGGGCCCAGGCCAACCTTTCATTCTCCTTCCACCCCTGTTCCTGACTTTCTGCTCTTCAAAGAATCATGCCTCTGCACCAAATACCTTTATGGACACCCTCACCTGGCTTTTCAACTCCCTTTTGTGTGTTATCTTTCTCCATTAACTATAGTGAGTAGATCCTGAGAGGGGGAGAGGGAATGGAATTAATTGATCCTTCACCTATGAGTGTAGCTATTCATTCTTAGAAGTCTAGTTTCAATCCATCTAAAAATCATATCCTTTCGTGAGGTGGAAGGGGCCTAAATGATAACATATGCCCACCTCCTTAGATGAAGAAAGTTGAATGAGGATATGTGAGATGATATGCCTAAGATTGAATAGATAGTATGTGATTTAGTCAGGTCTTTTGACTTCTAGGTAAGTGAAGGTTGGACATCATATGATGGGCTCTTTCATTGAAAAATGTGACTGTTTGGAATTTAACTTTAAAAACGATAGTTAACAAGTAAGAACATGAATTTATACAATAAAGTTCTAAAGATAAATTTTAAGCTAGTCTAGAAAATTATCTAAGTTCATGTAAAAAGGATAGCAAGATGCCATCTCTTGGAATGAGGGTGGGGATTCCAGGATGCTGATTCAGTCTAGCTAGGCCCTAGAGGAAGAAAAAAAGGGCAGATTGATGGGATTGCACATTAAGAAGGAAGGAAGCAATTCAATGTGATCAGTGACTCATTGTTTGGTGGCTGAGCCATTGATCATTTCAAACCAAGCTTCACACACAAAGTGCAACTGTTCACTTAAAAAGTGCTTATGTCTCCAATCTACCCTACCCCAATGCCACACTGAGCTTTGCCTCTTGTTACAACTCCCCACCTCCCATACCTTTTTTAATCAAAGCAAATCTATTCATTATTCCCCAGGCATTTAACCTGCTTCCGGCTCTGAGCTGTCTCACAGGCCATCCCTTCCATATGACTTTTTTCTGTTTCCTTCCCTTTCCCAATTTATATAGCTTATTCCATCCAAAATGTTGCCTTCCCTGACTAATCCCGCCTGGCTCTGCTCCTATCAATCCATCTAGGACACCCTTAGCACTCCTACATATAGATGCATACAGCCATAATGAATGCTGTATGTTTTCATGTATGTGTATTTGTGTTCTCATTTCTATTCATTTAGGTGAGCATCCATAGTTTATGAATAATGTTTCAGTCATTTGTACTTGATTAGCACTTGTTGTCCTAGTCTTCTCAT